TGCGTCTCGCCCACGGCGGCCGCCCGCGCCTCCTCCCACACCTTGTCGGGGTGGCGGCCCGCCGCCGCCGCCACCGCCGCGGGCCGCGCCGCGGGGTCGAGCCGGATGGGCGCGAGGAAGCGCTTGTCGAGCCACTTGCGCAGCGCGTGCGCGTCGTCCGCCGCGGCGCCGAGCGGCGCCATCTCGCCCGAGATGGCCTCGAGGGCGAGCCGGAGCCAGAGCGGGTTGTAGCAGCCGAGGAGCGAGAGGAGGTTGTCGCGCTGCCCGACGTCGGCGGCGAGGTTGAGGCTCGGCCGCACGCACAGCAAGCCCGACTCGACCTCGGCCTCGAGGCGCGCGATGACGGGCCGGAGCGATGGGCCACGCAGCAGCGTCGTCATCCGCCGCCGGTTGACCGCGTCCTGCCTCCGGTTCTCAAACTCCATCAGCGTGAGAGTCTGCCGCTCGCCCGCGCCGCCGCCGCCGCCTGCCACGCCGCCGCCCGGCGCGACGGTGCGGCTGCCGCCGACCACAAAGTTGAACCAGGTGGTGAAGCCGGCCTCGCGCCGCTCGCGCCAGCGCGCGTCGTAGAAGAAGCCGCTCGTCCGCCCGCCGAGCGCCGCGGCGCCCTCGAGGCGGCCCGCAGGCGCACCCCTCGGCGCCGCGCCCCTCGGCGGCGGCTTGCTCAGCCGCAGCCTGCCCGGCACGCTCGGCGCCTTGCTTCGCCGCACCTGCTTGAGCTTCGCCTCGAGCTCCTCGACGTGCTCCTCCGCCAGCTTGCGCCGCTCCGCCGCCACCTCGACGCTCGCCGCGGCCGCGGCGCGGCCGGCTGGGACGGCGCGGCCGGCTGGGGCGGCGCGGCCGGCTGGGGCGGCGCGGCCGGCTGGGGCGGCGCGGCTGGCTGGGGCGGCGCGGGCGGCGGCGCGGAGAACGCGCTCGCCAACAACGACGCGGCGCCCTCGTCAAAGACGAGCAGGTCGTCTCCCAGCCGAGAGTTGCGTCTCGGCCGCGGCTTGGACGAGAAGGACGAGGCGCGGTTGTTTGTGAGCCGGCTCGGGCTGAGCGGCATGCGCTCGTCGTGCGCCTGCGCCTTGCAGAGAGCGGGTGCCGTGGCGAGGGCGAGGATGGCGTCGCCCACGTCGGGCGGCGCCGCAGTCGGGCCGGGCGGCGCCGCGGGGGCGCACAGCCCCTTGAGCTCCACCGCCAGCGTGTTTGAGCGGTTCCAGAGCAGCTCGAGCCGCTTTGGGATCGAGCCGTGCGAGAGCGGCGCCCACGTGACGCAGAGCTCCCCCTCGCCGTGCGGCGGGAGTTCGAGGAGCGGCGGCTGGACGCTCAGTCCGCCGCGGCCGACGCCGCGCACCTCCAGCCGCTGCGGCCGCGGCGCGACGTTCTTCACAGCGAGCGCGCGCGTCACCGACGCCCGCGGGGCGATGGTCCCAAAGCTGACGGTGGGCGTCGTCGCGACACTGCTGAGCACGAGCGGCGCCGGCACGCAGACAGGCTCGAGCGACGTCGCCGCGTTGCGAGCAGCCGGAGCCTTGGCCTTGGCCTCGACCTCGGCGAGGTCCATTCGACCTACGAGTACGAGGCTGATCCGGCCGTGACCCCAGCACAGCTTTGGCTTCGACGGGCGCCTCCCAGGGTGCCCCGGGCGACCGACTCGAGCGGCATGCGGCTTCGGACAGGCCTCGGCCCGGCTCCTGGCGGGTCGCTGAAGCGTCTCGGTCGCTCTCTCTCGGTTGCGCGGTTGCGCGGTTGACGCTTTTTTGGCGCTCACGGCGGGCGGCGAGGCTGGCCTTGAGGTCGCAGCGAGCCGTCCAGACGTCTCACGGTGGCGTCACGCATATCACTCGTGGCGTCGGTTGCCTTGGAGGCGGCGGAGACGTCCAGCGGCGGCGCATTTTGATGGGCACGCCCGGCAGCGCTGCGGGCGAGCGTGCCGCAGGCTGAAGACCTCCCTTGGCGCGGCGCGAGCGGCGCGCACCGCTGCACGAGGGCGCGCGGCGCTGCCGCCGCGATCAGTCGTCACGGCCTGCGCCCGGGCCGGCCGCGCGGGTGGCGTGGCAGCGACCACAGCACATGGTTCGGGGCTTCGGGCGGGCTTCTCGGTATCTTCGGTTCCGCTGCACCGGCGCGTGCATCCGACCCAGTGAGTCCTGCCGGTGAAGTGTGTGGTGTCTAGCCGCACGATGCTGCAGGCAACGTCGCGTGGTGTGCTTGTGCGTCGGTAGTCGTCGCAACTCGCACTGTGTCTGCACTGTGTCCGTCTCGCAGCGCGCGCTCTCCCAGTGTCGAGCGAGTCGTGGTGTGCGCGAGTCGTGGTGTGAGTAAGACCCAGCCGGCGTCTCACCCACGCGCGCCTTTTTCCTCCTCTCTCGCTTGCGGCAACGAGAGTAACCATCTCTTGCGTCCCACGCTCAAAATGTCCCCGGGGGGACACACAGACACACAAGCGCGGCGCGCGCGCTCTTGATCGTCGTCGATCAGTCGTGCGCTCGCCCATGTGTGAACGCGCGCAAGCACATAAGAATTCTTAACCAGTTATACGACACCCTACGACACAACACCGCCACTCCGGATGAAACGAAAGTCAAAGTCGAGAGAGCTCCGGTGGCATTTGAAGACCTTGCGCGTCTTCTCGATCAACGCGAACGTCTGCTCGCTCGCGCTGCTGGCCAGCTGCGCGAACGTGCGCCCGTACTCGCGTGTGCGGCGCGCGAACCTGAAGATGGTGATCAACGGCAGGTTCTTGCGCCCAAGCGAGGCCAGCACGTTCGTGTACAGGTGGTTGGGGTTGCAGTCGTTGTTGGCGCGAAAGTGGATGGCCGACTTGCCCCAGGAGTTCTCGATGCCAACACCGGCCAGCTCGGGGTGGCCCCTGACGCACATGAGGAGAATGTGGCCTCGCGCGCGGAAGGCCTCCTGCAGCGCCGTGGTCTCATGCGCAAAGTCCCAGCAATCGCTGAGCACCTGGCGCGAGGGCGTGGTGGTGGGCGAGGGGTTGCGTGGATGGTGGCAGGTGAGAGTGAGAGGGGGCGGTCACGTGGTACGCGCTGAGCCTCTGGTCGCGGCCATCCTCGTCGTCCTCCTCAATCCTGTTCTGCATCCCGTCGACCCATAGGCCGCGCTCCCAAATCACCTGCTGCCAGCCCTTTGCCTTGCCCACGTAGCCGGGCTCGATCACGTCCTCCATCTCGCCGGTGGCCGAGTTCATCTTGCGCTTGCCGGTTGGCCGATCGTACTTCGGCGCGTCTGGCTTGTACCTGCGACACGCGGTGGGTGTGGTGAGGGCGGGCGAGGGAGAGAGACGGAAGCATGGTGACTCACCAGGGCGGCGGGTCCTCCTCCTTGAACGAGAAGTGCTGCGTGTCGTCCACGCCGATCTTGCAGTCGACGATCTCGAACAGGCTAGGATCGACAAACTGCTCATCAGTCACCAGCATCCAGGAGGCCCCGCCCGCCCCGCCCGCGGCGCCGCCCCGGGCCCTGCCCGCCGCGCCGCCCACCACGCCCGCGCCCGCGACGCCCGCCGCGCCCGCCGCGCCCGCCGCGCCCGCCACACCCGTGCCCGCCGCACCCGCGCCCGCCACCGCGCCCGCCACGAAGCCCGTCACGACGGTGGCCATAGCCGTGCCGCCCGCAGCAGCAGCATCAGCAGGCCCGGCGCCGCCGCTGCCCTCCGCCGCAGCCGCATCCAAGGTGGTCTGCGCCACCACCGCCGCCGCCACCGGGCGCTCGCGCCGCCTCGCCATCTTGGCCGAGCCGCTGCCAATGCACTCGGCGTTGAGCTTGGAGGGGTGGGGGATGGGCTGCGCGCCGCCAAACAGCTTGTTCATCTTGGCAGCATTGAGGGCGTCGAGCCGGTGGCGCGCGTGGTTCATGGACCAGTCGACCTCGAAGAGGAACTGCCAGTCGGGGTGCAAGCACTCGAAGGCGTCGAGCAGGTCCTGAGACGAGCGAGCGGCTCATGGCAGCGTCGGCGAGGCGAGGGGCTGGGCCGGCAAAAGTGCCCGCCCGTCCAAGACGGAGAAAAGAAATGGGGCTCGCGCCTGGCACTGCTCGGCAAACTGCTCCGCGTTCCAGTAGCCGGCGTTGTTCTTGCCGTACTTGAGGAAGCGCAGGCCGGGCGACATGACGAGCGGCGGTTTCTTGCCGTCGTACTTGACGAGCCGCCACGCGTTGACGCGCTCGAGCTCGCGCGCGGAGCACCTGAAGCCGAAACCGCGCAGCTCGTCCTGCGTGCCGGAGCCCATGATGCCGGGGCCCTCCGACTTCTTGTTGAGCCCGCGCACGCCGTCAATCACCCACGTGCCGCGAGAGGTCTGGAAGGCCTTCCAGATCTTCTCGTCGTGCCCTTGGTGCCACAGAGGCTTGGCGCAGCAGCAGACGTCTGGGTGGTGACCCTCGGAGCAAAGACCCCGCGAGTCGGCGTTGGCATCCTACGGAGCAAGTTGAGATTTCTTCTTTTTATCGTGCAAAAGATGCAGAAATGCGATTTCTTTTTGTGTCCTTCGGGGCCGGGTGGGACGGGCACCTCTGCGAGGAAGTTGACGCACGCCTCCGCAAAGCCAGAGGCGCCGAGCAGCGCCCCGTCCGACATCCACTCTGGCTCCCCATCGCCCCAGACGACGCGCCACTCAACGTACAGCACCGTGTCGCCCAGCGTCGACTGCTTCTCCTGCGCGCGCCCGGGCGGCGTCAGCGCAGAGTGCAATGCGGCACGCCTGCATTGTGGGCAGGGCGCGCGGCGCGCCGTCGTGCGGCGCGCGAGCACCTTTGTGATCTTCGGCGTACCAGCATCGGTGGCGGCCGGCGCGGCGGCGGCCGGTGCGGCGGCGGCAGCAGCAGCCAAGCCCTGCTTGTTCTTTGTCGAGTGCGCCCAGAGAAGGTTGACGAGATCAATTTTGACGACGTTGCCATTCGCGCCGGAGCCCGCAGCTGGCAGCGCGACGTGCAGCCGTGCGAGCTCTTCGCGCAGCTCCGCCGGCGTTTTCCCGTTGATGTCGCTCTTGGTCAGATGGCAAGCAGGCGCGGCAGCGTCGGGCATGATGGCGGGCGCGCCCTCTGCTCCCGGGGCGGGCGCGTCGGCAGGCGCGGCAGGGGCGGCAGTGGGTGGCGTGATCTCCGTGCCAGGCTCGAGAAGCTCTTTCTCGGGCGGAGGTGCGGACGGTGGCGCGGTCGGCTGGCCGTCCCACCGCAGAGAGAATGAGCCGTGGAGCGGCTGCTCGAGGCGCCACTGCAAGAAGACCTCAGCAGCGTCGACGTGATACTCATACATCATCACGCCGTCCACCTCTGCTCGGTAGGCGGGCTTGGGCAGCGCAAACGCCCGCGGCTCGGATGCGGCGTCGGCTGGCACGACGTAGCCTTTGCGCTCCTCCTTTGCCTTGGCTTTGGCGGCCACCTTCTCGGCGACCTGCTTGCCGCCCTCCTCGAGCCGCGCAACCTCGTCGGCGGTCAGCTGGATCCAGACGGGTTGGCGGAGCTCGTACGCGAGCCGCGCAGGCCAGTACCGCCCATCGCGGTCCTACAGTGTGGGGCGTGGTGAGCGGGGGCCGTACGTGTCGCGTCTCCTGCCCGCTCTCAAGCTGCGCGCAGGGAGGCAGAGAGGTGAGGCGCGGCGCACGCGCTGCCAAGCCGAGCCCTCCCCCAACCCCCACTGTACCTTGATGTTGCGCTCTTGGCAGTGTGTGTCGTTGAAGTAGGTCTTAGTCTTCCAGTCCCGTTTGATGTTGACGGCGAGTAGCCACCTGTGCACCGTGGACTTGTGCACAGGCAGCGTGAGTCGGTACTTGAGCAGCGTGCCCGCCGGCAGGGACGGCAGCAGCGTGTTGTTGCAGTAATCAGTGGCCGCCTCGCAAAACCTGGGGTGGTCGACGTTGTGCCGTCCCCACTTCCGCAGCTGCTTCTTGACGTCCTCCTCGTTGGCGATCAGGGCGTGGCCCAGCCGGCCTCGCGTCGAGCGCTCGAACTGCTGGTCGCGCGCGTAGTCGTAAAAGTACTTCCGCACCGTGTCCTGCCCGAGCTGCGGATAGATGCCAGTCTTGCCCATCCTCTCGCCTGCACATGTGGGTAGCGACGGACAGGCCTCTTGAGCTTTGCACATACAATAGCGTGCGCTCTCGTGCGACCACCACTGCACCACACACACACGCGTCGTCACAGGGTGGCACCACTCACGGGGGCTATCACCTGCGCGCGTGGCGCATCGCACCGACCAACCCTTCTGAACGGGCCCCTTATTGACCTCCGCCTCGACCTCCTCCAGGTAGTAGAGCACCGCGACGCACTGGTTGGCGACGCGCCGCCGCTGGTACTCCGACTCGAGCTCTGGCGCGACGGACGGCGCCCCCTCCTCCGGCGCCGGCCTGGCGAGGACCTCGTCGCAGCGGCCCCTCTGCAGGAGAAACGTGAGCAGCTGGATGTGGTGCTGGCGCCACACTCGCCGATCCGCCTCCGCGTCCATGTGCGCGGCGATCGACTCGATCACGCGCTCGGTGGCGCGACGAGGCTGCCTGCGGCGAGCGACGCCGTGCGACCAGCCTTTGGCCTTCTTCTTCTGGCGCATGCGCAACTGGGCTTGCCGCGCGACGTCCACGAGAGAGCTAGCCAGCTCGACGAGCCTGCCCTGCACACGCGTGCCTGTGTGCCGGCCGCGCGCCCGCTCGAGCATGCTGGCCGAGAGCTTGCGGTGCCTGGTGCCTCGCGCGCTCAGGTGGCGGAGCCGGTCCTGCTCCCGCTGGCTCGCCACGGTCAGCCGAGCCAGCCGCTCGGTCAGCCGATCCTTCGCCTTGCCCACGTAGCACCGGAAGAGTACGCGTCCGCCCGGCACCGCTCGGCATAGGGTGTAGACCTGCGGGCACGTGGCTGCCGGCTCGTCGCCGCCGAGGCCCTCTGCCTGCGGCGAGGTTGCGCCGAGCTCATACTCGAGAGTGCGAGCGACGCCTCCCGGCGCCGCGCCGGCCTCAGCGGTGGTGTCCGCGTCGCCGCCGCCCGCCACACTGCTGCTGGCTGCGGCAGAGAGCCGCGACGGCCGGTGGCGCTGCTGCCGCGCGCCGGGCGAGGCGAGGACGGCGTCCACGTCCATCGGGGTGGAGGTGCTGCCGCCAGAGCCGGGGGAGGTGAAGCCGTCAACGATCCACGCCATGAAGCGCGGGACTGCCGCCAGCGCTGCGGCCTCTGTGCCAAAGTCTCGCGGCTCGAAGGGGGCCGCGCCGTGCGCGCCAGGGATGGTCGTGGAGCGGGCGACCCAGCCTTTGGAGCGCAGCGTCTTGATCGACATCTTCGTGTGCGTGCTCGACGTGCGGTAGGGGCACTCGATGTAAAATCGGCCTGAGTTGCTGTTCTGCTTCACCGTCGGCGAGCAGCCAAAGGTGCGCCACGCGCGGTCGTCAGAGGCAGAAGAGGGCGCGTTGGTCATTGTCGCTATCTGCGCCGCGCGGAAGGGGTTGAAGTCACGTGGGATTTGCACGACGCGGCTGTCGCGACGTGCAGAAGTGCGTGGCATGCGGTGTACGAGACGGTAGGGGGATGAACGGCTCGGCTCGCGTCGCCCTCCCAGCCACAGCCCTGTATTCTGGCCCGACGCCGAAGCGGCGCGCGCGACGGCCGGCGCGGCTTGGGACGGAGGGCGCGTGCCGACCCGTTCACCCCCTAGGGGACCAGACTATGGCCACCACTAGCCTCGCCAACCGCTCCGCTAGCGTGTCGAGCGAACCTGACGCCACTTCGGACGGCCACGTGGGCGCCTCGCTGTGCTGGCGTTACGCCCGGATCAGCCTCGTAGCTCCATTCGAAAGGGAAAGACACGCGAAGAAGAATTTTAAGCGCATCGCACAACACTGGGCACCGTGCCCAGTTTTGTGCGAAGAAGAATTCGAACACGGAGTTGTCTAACGGATCTTACCCCGCCTGTAACAAATGTGGCTTAGTCGACCGCGCCGACAGCTACGCCGCGAGCGCGATGTGCAAACCTCTCTCGATTCAGGTAAACTCTGCCGTCCCTTCGGACATGTTTGGTATTGCTAAAAATCTCTCTCCCTTCGGCGATGCACTGCCGTGACGGATGGCGTTATCTTTAAGGTATTGCTAAAATCTCTTTGAGCCGCCGCCGGTGGCGGGAACTCACACGCAATAGAGGCATCCATGTCGTGCAGGAGCGAGAGGCCGCGCGCAGGGGGGTGGGACATTGACGGACATTCATGAATTCAACGTGTATTTCACACGACTAGAGAGTGGGGGACCTGCGGCGGACCCCGCCTCTGTTGTTCGGGCAGTGAGAGACGCAGGATCTGCACGCCAAAGTGGGGCCACTCCGCATTTTCATTTTGGTTTTGGGTTGTCGGAGATCATCCATCAGCACTCATAAGTCAGTCACGTCAGTCAAAGCAGTCGTGGCACGTGAGCTCAGAGTCGCTGCATGCAACGGCGCCGCCACACGCTCCGGACGCGACCGACACACCGACACACCACGCACAATGGGAGGCTATCGCGCACGATCGGCCATCGCACCCACCGCAAACACCTCGCCGCACAGATGGGGGGAGGCAGAATCCCACACACACCGGAGCAGCGCAGACACCTTACACGTCAGCGCTCGCTCGATGTGGCCGGCGCTCTCCCCTCTCCTATCGCCTTTTCAACGGCGGCGTGCGGCCACGCGCCGCGCCGAGCCGGTCTCGGCGGGAGACCTCGGAGCCGCACGCGATGCGGGCATGCGCGATGGCTCCGTTGGCTCCGTGCCTAAGGCAGATAGATTAGGGGCTGCGGCAGCCACCGTTTCTGTACCTCGATCACGTGCAGGCCGTCGGAGGCCGCGCTGGATGGCCCAGGGCCGGCGGCGGTGAAGGCGTCCGTCGATGAAGGGATGTCGTCGAGGGAGCCATCGTCCTCCGCGGCTGGTGCACCGGTCCAGTTGTCGGAGTTCGAGATCGCCGTCGACTTGGACGGTTGGAGACGTTCGGCCCGTTGACGAACTCACGGAATGTGAGCGACTTGGTGCACGCTGATAGTCGAGCATCATGGCTCGCACCTCATCCTGGGCGAGGTCCGCCCAGGGACCAGCTGTTGGCGTCGCCGTTTTGATCGAGCTGCATCCACTGCATGGTTTCGTAGTCAAGCGTAAACGCCCAGGAGTTGGTGCCTGGGTGACTTGCTGATGAGAGCGCCTTCCAGGCGGGTAGTCGTGCCCCTCACCTAAGGTCATACGGCGGCGTCAGAGGGGGGGAGGGGCGCGAAGCGTGAACATGGAGGCAAGCAGGTGGTGGGCTGCACCTGGCCAAAGCCGGCGACCTCAAAGTTGTCGTAGGTTGTGCGGGTATCGCTGAGTGTGAGAGGGACTGGATCGGCAGCGGCCGGAGGGACTGGCATCGCGGGCGGCAGCGGCCGGAGAGGCCGGAGAGCCGTCCGACGGAGGCCGGTCGTGCATCGGCGCGTCGGCCGTAGGGGCCGGGGGGGGGCGGCATCCATCGCTGCGGGTCCGCTGCAGCGGGCCGACGATTGTGGACTGATCGATCGTCGGCGGGCGGTGTTCTCGAGTGTTATATGCGCATTAAGCTAGGTCTGGCTAGGTCGTTCTACGTTAAAAGAGCGTCGGCGCGGACACGAGAGACTTATAAAAAGAGCGTCGGCGCGGACACGAGAGACTTATAAGGGTAGACAAGCAAGGCGCAACGACGGCTTCTGAAAAGAAAATAATTTGACGATTTGCAGAAAGAAAGAAAGAAAACAGAGCACCCAAGGGAGGGATGGGAGGACGGCACGCCGCCACCACACAGACGATTTGCAGAGAAATTGCTGGGCTCGTTTGCTTTCTTTCTGTGTACCTGTGTTAGTGCCAGTGCGCGCCAGTCCCGTGCCCAGTAAAAGAAAGAAAGAAAACAGACAACCCAAGGAAGGGATGGGAGTCCCGTGCCCAGTGTTCTGCGAGAAAGTTCTTGTAAAAAACAGAATTCTTTCTGCGGCAGGAGTCGCAGGCTTGGCGCCCGTCTGGTGTACTGTGTTAGTGCCAGTGCGCGACGCTCCTGGCCGCTGGAAGCAACGCTGCATATGCATCTATCCAACACGCCCCTGATGTCGGCCGCGTCCAAGCTGGCCGGAAAATTGCGCCTGCCCTGCATCGGCGCGCCGCTCTTCATCGTCTCCACGCCGGACCTCGTCATCGCGCAGTGCAAGGCGGGCATCGTCGGCTCCTTCCCGGCGCTCAACGCCCGCCCAAAGGACAAGCTCGATGAGTGGCTGGTCCGGATCAAGTCGGAGCTCGCGGAGCACGACGCCGCCCACCCCGACTCGCCGGCCGCGCCCTTCGCCGTCAACCAGATTGTCCACCGCTCCAACGACCGGCTGATGCACGACCTCGAGGCGTGCGTCAAGCACGAGGCGAGCGCCGCCCGGCCGGCCGCCTCCCGCGCCGCCCCTCGCGGCCGCCTGCCCTCGCGCGCGGAGAGAGAGGGGCGAGGCCTCGCCGCCGTCGCAGGTGCCGCTGGTGATCACCTCGCTGGGCGCGCGCGAGGACGTCAACCAGGCGATCCACTCGTACGGCGGCCTCGTCTTCCACGACGTCATAAACAACCATTTTGCGAAGAAGGCGGTCCAGAAGGGCGCCGACGGCATCATCGCCGTCGCGGCGGGCGCGGGCGGCCACGCGGGCACGCTCTCGCCCTTTGCGCTCGTCTCTGAGATCCGGGAGTGGTTCGACGGGCCGCTCTGCCTCTCTGGCTCCATCGCGACGGGGAGCGGCGTGCTGGCCGCGCAGGCGCTGGGCGCCGACTTTGCGTACATGGGCTCCGCCTTCATCGCGTCGGCCGAGGCGAACGCGCAGGACGCGTACAAGCAGTCGATCGTCGAGTCGGTCGCGGCGGACATCGTCTACTCGTCGCTCTTCACGGGCGTGCACGGAAACTACCTGCGCCCGTCCATCATGGCGGCCGGCCTCGACCCCGACAACCTCCCCGAGGGCGACGTCACGCAGATGGACTTTGGCTCCGGAGGCAACACCGACGCCAAGGCGTGGAAGGACATCTGGGGCTGCGGGCAGGGCATCGGCGCCATCAAAGAGGTGAGCACGGCGGGCGAGATCGTCGAGCGCCTCAAGGGCGAGTACGCGGCCGCCGTGGCGGAGAGCAGGGCGGCGACGGGCAGGTTCGTCCCCTGACTCGCGAAGCGCCACTCGGGCCCCAGTCTCTGTTCAGCGCGCGCACAGACGCTCTCCTGTCAGTCCAGTCAGTGTATCTCCCCCTCTTGACTCTCGTCTGGGTCTCGGTTATTTTGTGAAGCGTGTTCTTGTACGCGTCCAGAGTGTCTGTCTCGCCTCGGATGTTGCGGGTATTTATCTGTGTACTGTGACGCTGTCGACTCACAATGCCACGGCATAGAGGCACGCACATATATAATAGACATATTGCCGGCTTGCCGGGGCATGCCGGGGCGGGGCCCCGGCCGCGCCGCCGCCGCGCGCCGGGACCGGCGGGCGGGCGGCCGAGAGCGAGAACGCGGCCCTCTCGACTCTCGTCCAAACCTCCAATGAGAGGTAGCATTCGTAGCATGACTGACGGACCCTGTCTGAAGGCGTGGAAAACGGCTTTCGGCTCTACACACGGCACCGATGGACACGAGACGAGCATACCTCCGCTCAGGCACAGGCTGCATACACGTGCATGCATCACACACTCACACGAGGCCCACTGCTAGCTCGAGCGACTGCTAGATCCGGCGCGGAGGTCCTCCAGGCTCGCACAGTACACCCAGACGGAGCAGACTTGGTTAGGGTAGGCGTGCACGTACACGGAGAGCGCAAACTGAATCTTCTTGGCGTCCGCAAGGAAGATATTGGTCTCGCGCACGCGCTTGATGATGGCGTTCCGGTCGGTGTACGTCACGTTGATGGGCAAGCCGACCATGTGGTAGGACGCGCGGACCCGCTCGAGGGTCGCGTCGTGCTCGATGGCCGTCAGCTTCTTCACGCCAGCAACGTCCTGCTCGAACCGCTTGAGCAGGTCCTTGAGCTTGGCGTTGACGGAGCGGTTCCAGTCTGTCGGCCGGAAGCCGCGCAGCTCCTCCACCTCCCGCTGCAGCGCGTCGTACACCTCCCGCTCAATGCCCGAGCGGAAGTCTTCGGTGGTGCGGTGGTACTCGAGGGTGGACAACTGGGCTGACGGCAGCACGTCAGGTCGCGCGAAGCCGCCCTTGCCGAAGAAGGGCTTCCAGAGCTTCTCGTCGGACAGGTTCCACTGCACCTCGGCAGGGGCCTCGCCGGGACCCACGTTCGCCCAAATGTTCTGCTGGTTGAAGACCGCTCCGACAGAGGTGAGCGAGCACCGGTCGAACTCATCCTTCTCCCACGTGCGGCCAGTGCATGCATTCCACAGCCGCGGGCTGCCGCCCTCGATGGTGAGCACGTAAGCCGTCAGGCCCTCGGGGATGCCAGAGCCGAGCACGACATAGCTCCCCTTGTTCATGGCGAGGAGGTAGTTGCACAGAAGGATCGCGTGCTCCTCCTGATCGCCCGCGCCGAGGTCGAGGAACGAGTCCGACGTGTTCCACACGTCGAGCGCACCGCCCTCCATCGCGGCGTCGTCGAGGAACGGCACGAGGGAGACGTACCGCAAGAGCTGGCGCTCGTTCCCGATCAGCTCGCTGGGCGGATTCTGAGGCCGGATGAAGCGGCAGAGGAGCATCTTCTGTCCATCCGCACCCGGCGCAAAGACACGGACGTGCCGCTCGCCGCGAGCGATGGTCTTGACCCACTCCTTGGCGAACTCCTGCATCTTCGCGTCATGCGTGGTGAGCCGCTCCCTCTCCTCCTCCTTGGGAGGTGGCAGGAGCGGGTTGATGGTGAGGAAGGTCCGGAGCGCGGAGGCGGGCACGAAGGCCTGTGAGCGCGACTCGGAGTCCTTCTCGTACCCAAGGAGCATGGGCGGCATGGTGTCGAGAGGAAAGGACCCCTCGAGCTTGCCATTCCGATAGAGCGTGGAGAAGGGCAGCGCAAAGCCGCCGAGCCAGCGCGACTCCTCGCGCACGGTCAGCTGCGACTCGTCTCGCTCGTCCCGCTCAGTGCGGTGCACCTTGTCGTAGAGGTTGAATGCGATCTCGTCGGACAGATTCATGATGGCCTGCTGCGACCAGTCGCCCCCTGGCGCCGCCAAGTTGAGCTCCAGGATGGTGTTCCACGCCGGGTTGGCACCGGACTTGATGTCGGTCGTGAAGCGCTGCCCCTGGAAGCGTACCTCGACGAAGAGACTGGTCTTTGGCCGACCTCTCTGCGCGTTACTGGGCGCGCGCACTGGCAGATCGAAGCCCGACTGCACGACCACCTCAATCTTCCGCTCGGTCGAGTCCGAGCCAGGCACCGGCTTTCGGAGGCGACGCTGCGGGAGTAGCTTCCGCCGCGGCTCAAGCAGCTTGAGGAAGGCGCTGCAGTTGATCTCGGCGGCTTCGACCTCCAGAAGCGGCTCGCGCACGTAGTCCTGCGTGTCCATCACGTACCTTTGCGACGCTCGGGCCGCCTCGTGCCGTGCGCGGACTTGCGTGATCCACGCCTTGACACGGCTCGCCTTCTCCTGCGCAACCCGATCCGAGTCGTAACGGCCGACGGCGTCATCAAACTCGGCGGCAGGACGGAGGAGCTGCCGCATACCCGGCGGGATCAGCGAGTCCCTGGGTGGGACGGCCTTTTCGTCCGGCGGCAGCTGCGCCCACTTGCCCGGGTGCTTGCGCCGCAGTTGGAACAGCGAGAATCGGTCCGAGGCAGCCCACGAGCTGGACCATTGCAGGGCTGCCGCGTTGCGCAGGTGGCGAAAGATGCCGCCGACAGAGCCCCGGTCGATGCGTGCCATCAGGGAGAGGAGTGGCGCATCCGTGGGAGCGTTCGGATCGAGCTCGTCGGGGCTGACGGTCGCGAGCACCTGCTGCGGGTCGACAGCGAGGGCGCCGCCCGAGGCTAGGTCACCGACAGCTCCAGCGCCCGCCTCGCTCAGCCTGTCCGCGGGTCGTGTTGTCCACGCGGTGGACACTTCAACCTCGCCCGACACGACGTGCCGCGGGAGCGGCTGAACGCCGTCGAGCGCGTTCTCCAGCGCCTCGTGTATCCCCTCGCGGCCCGCGAGGGGCTGGAACGGCCGCGAGGCGGTGAACGCGTAGCTCTGCCAGTGCGGCATGGTGGGCGAGGCCGTCTCGGGCATCGAGAGATAGACCTGCCCGAGCAGCTGATCTCCTAGGCCGCCATACCGACGCTGCCACACTTCGACGGCCAGTGAGGCTGGCCGCGTGAGCAGCTGCAGCTGAATGGACGCCTCGAGGCGCACGCTCATGTCGTGAGGTTGCAGCTTACCACAGCCGAGCTCGCACACGGCGCGCCCGTCGACGAGGAGCCTCGCGTAGAGCACCTCCCGGGCGGCCTCTCGTTGTCGTGATCTCTCCCGCTGCGGAAGCTGCTCCGGGGGCGTGGGCGTCGCCAGCTCGGAGTAGACGGGCAGGAGACGACCCTCGCCGGGAGGCCGGCGGAGCTCTTGCTGCCTGCGCTCGATCGCCGCGCGAATCCCGTCCTCGTCGAGATCGCTGCCCGGAGCCGCCTGTGCTGCGAGGGCGTGCGCCAGCTTGCGTTCGTCCACCTCCTCCTCCAGCTCGCGCGCGAGGGCCTCCGCCTCCTCATCGATGGCGCTCGGCTCAACCAGCCGGAACTGCATGCGCGCGCGCGTCGATTTGAAGCCCTGCGCCTCACGCTCCGCCTTGAGGGCGTGCCATAGCTTGAGCAGCCGCCGTGCCAGCAGCCTCTCGGCACACTCCTGCTCATCCTTCAGCTGGCGTGTCTCCAGCAGCTCCGTACAGAGCGCCGCGAGGCGAGACTGCAGCTTGGCGTCGGTGGTGCCCTCGCCCGCGCCACCGCCAATCTGTTCTCGAAGATCGGCGACCGCCTCCTTGAGCTCCGATATCTTGAGGGCGTGCAGCTGCGCGAGCTGCCGCTCGTGCGCGTCCTCCAGCCGCGCCACGAGCGAGCGGCACGCGGACTGCAGCTCGTGCTCGCGCAAGAAGAGCCGGTGGTCCTGCAGCCGGATGCCGCCGACTGAAACCTGCAGCACGCGCGGCGAGGCGCCGCCAGAGGCTAGCGTCCCGGCGACTGAGGTGCCCCACTTCTCTGGACGGCGCCGCTCCACCTCGAACGGGCCGCCCGACGGCTCCGCCCCGGCCGCGTCGAGCCACGAAGGCAGGACGCGCACCGGCCGCACCGGGTCGGGTTGTCGGAGGAGCACTCCCGCGCCGTCCGCGAGCGCCTTGGAGCCGGGCGCAAAAGCAAGCCGCGCCTCCAGCGTCTGAAGCGCACGCGCGGACGCGGCGGGGAGCGGGGCAACGTAAAGCCCGTCGTCAAAGGTGCCGCCGCCGAGGCCGGTGCGTCGGCGGCGCAACGGCGAGAAGGAGCGCGGGTGTGCCGCTGTGGTATAGAGGACGGCCTCCTCTGCCGCTCGCTTCGAACCGGATGTGAAGAGTGGCGCCGGGCGGACTGTCAGATCGCCTACGGGCGCCACCGGCACCGCGGGCGCCGCGTCTGCTGAGTCGTCCTTCTTGTCGCCGTCGTCGCCCTTCTGCTTGGCACCTCCCCGAGCGAGCCGCGAACGCATCGCTTGAATCCGGCTTGGCGATCCAGGCGCCTTGGGCGCCCTGCCGCGCCGCTGAACGGGAGAGCTCGACGGAGTGGCCTCCGTGGCCTCGTCTCGTGTCTCTTCCTCAGCCTCCTCGCCCTCACCCTCTGGCTGGGCGTCGGCACCCTCCTCCTGGTTGGGCACCTGCAACGAGCTTGGTGTTGCCTTGCGCCGCCGCCGCCCACCCGTCTGGGATGGGCTATCGTTTGTTGTCGCCGATGCGCCCGCCTCCGCTGCCAGCGGCGGCGGAGTCGGCACTGAACTGCCTTCCGCAGCCGCCGCCCCTGCCTCGGTTTGCCGGTCGTCGCCAGCCTCCAGGTCCAATCGCCTCGGCCGCAGTGGAGACGGGTCCTGAGTAGTTTGACTGCCCAGCGGCGCTCCGTCTGCCTGCTCAGCTCCCGCTGGCGGTGCCTGGCCGGCGCGCCGCGCGGCACGGCGGGCGGCGCGCTGCTCCGTCGACGACATCTACAGGTGTGTCGGCGACGGTTGCGATGCAGCGTAACGCCCGGACGTACGCACTTAGTGGCGGGCACACTTTCTCAGTTACTACCGCTCGTCCGAGCTCCGTCGTATAAAGCCGTACGATCGAGTAGGAGTACGAACAACGTGTGCGCTAGGTGTGCGTAGTGCGACTGCTCTCGAGGCCGAACCGCGAATGTACTTTATAGCGCTCGCGGCAAATTCCAAAAATCTTTCAGCCCTGCAGATATCATGCAACCAAGACGATGACACGCCAACTCGCGACAGCTCACATCCTCTAAAGCTCCTACACGGTGGTACACGCCGCACAAGCGTCCAGACAATGAGACATGTGTGGCACGGCCGACGGCCCGCCGCCGCGCATCCGCCAGCCCGGAGCGTCACGGCCGGCATCGCGCCCGGCCGGCTTACGCGCGGGTGGCGGCGTCGCCCTCCGAGCCGTACCCGCCCGACGACTCGGACCAGCCCGGGTAGATGACCTCGTTGAGGCCGTGGATGAGGCCGTTGTCGGCCTTGACGTTGGCGCAGTAGCTGGTGCGGGGCGGCGAGGACGGCTGGCCGCAGAAGGCGTTGTCCAGGAAGTCCTTGCGGAACATGCGCCGGTAGGTGATCGTCGAGCCCTCGACGGTGGTGAGGTCGGCCGAGCCGAGCGAGTCCTTGTTCACGACGCCCTTGATGACGTGGTACTCGCACACCGCCTTGGTGAGCGGGCCGGCGACCGCGGAGAACTGCTCGCACGCCACGTTGCCTGGCGCGAGCACCGTGATGTCGGGCTGGGTCAGGTCGACGCCGTGCTGCTGGCACGCCGCCAGGAAGGTGGAGAAGGTGTCGTACTCCTTGAAGTCGGACTCCTCCTTGGGCGGGTCCTGCAGCGGCCCCTTCTCCTCCCAATACAAGTCCGGCCCCTGCATCGTGGCCAGCGTGTCGGCGACGTTGGCCATCATGGGTGCAGACATCCGCGAGCCGTGGCCGGCACGCGAGCCGACAACAAGCGCGGAGGAGCCAGCGAATCCGAGGGAGAGCATTGGTGACAGAAACCTGTGGGCGAAGGGCAGTACGTGTGGTGAGATTTGATCCCAGCAGTCACCGCGGGAGCGACGGAGGAGCAGCGAGCTGCAGCGAGCAGCATCGCACCTTAGATTTCGTTCGAAGCGCAGAGAGAATTCGCGCGCATGATTTTCTCTTCTTCTCTCATGACTGCGAAGTGAGATAGGAAGAGGCGGACGCCCAAGAGTGGGCGACGGCTAGCGCACCACACCCCTCTCCTTAAAATCCCTGTGTGGTGGCGGCGTGCCGTTCTCCCCATCCCTCCCTTGGGTTCTCTGTTTTCTTTCTTTCTTTTTCCTCTCATGTCTGCAAAATCCTGCAAAGGTGGGGACGTGTCTGTCCTCGACCCAGCCCTAGCTTGGGATGTCCGTTTTATTTATTTATTTATTCTCTCATGTCTGGGCGGCGCCAGACTCAAAAGACATAATTTTTTTCTCTCTCTGCGTGTGGGAGACTCCGGCCGCCGCCCCTGCCACCCCTGTGTCAGTGTGCCGGTGGCAGCGAGAGACTGCCAGTGAGAAGCTGGAGGCAGGTCGGTAGACTGAGATAGACCGCCGCCAGTGGAGTTGGGAGTCCACCGTGCACCGACCGCGCTGCGAGCCTGTCGTGTCCCTTGTCAGGCGCAGGAGAGCCCCACCTGTGCCACTGATCGTCCTTCCAAAATCCTGCTCGTGCAGTACCGATCATCCGGCCCGCTGGGTGCGCTTCTCAGCTCCCCGGCCCTGGATGTGAGGTTACTGACTGCACTCCAAGTGCTCCAAGTGCAGGTGGGGACCCTGTCCTCCTCTCCCCCATTCCCTGGTGGGGCTTCTCTGTTTTTTTCTTTCTTTCTTTCTTCTCTCTGAGTTGGATTGTTTAAATTCTTCTCTCTGGCGTCGTCGTCGTCGCAGCACGACGCAGAGAGAGGGGAGCGACGCGACAGAGGAGGAAGCGACAGGAGAGAGACTTTGAGAGAACGACGAGAGTGGGACGACCGCGAGGTGGCATGAAGGCTGCAGCGAGAATCCTGAGGCGAGGGTGTAGAGGATGTAGAGTGTAGAGCGCTGTAGAGCTGTAGAGATGTAGAGCACTCTGGAGCGCTGTAGAGCTGTAGAGCTCTACATCCGGCGCGGGACGATGTGAGTCCGATGTAGAGCGATGTAGAGCGCGATTTTGCTGTAGAGTTTGTTGTAGAGGCTCTACAGCCAACCCGCCGGGAAGGCAGTGTCCAGTGACTCAAAGAGGTCGAGTCGCACTAATGGGGTGTCTCCGAGCTTACTGGAGCTCTGATTATCACTGACACACAGAGAGTCCCTCTGACGGCACACAACACCCTATAACTGCGTCATGACCAGCCTGCCATGCGTCGCGCCGGTGCCTTATGATGTAGAGTTTGTTGCAGAGATTTCATGCTGTAGAGGGCCTCTACATCGCTCTACAACGCACCCGCATCGTCACGCGGCGGATGTAGAGCTCTACAGCTCTACAGCGCTCCAGAGCGCTCTACATCTCTACATCTCTACAGCGCTCTACACTCTACCTCTACACCCTCTCTCAGCGAGAATCGCGAGGGACTACACCCTACATCCTCTACACCCTCCCTCAGCGAGAATCGCGAGGGACTGGCGAAGTGAGATAGGAAGGGGCAGACGCGCTTAGGCTGAACAAGCTTTTCCTCTCGCACCCCGTCTCTTTTTCCCTTTTTCTCTCCCTTCTATTTTCCCGGGGAAATCATCAAATTTTCCGGGCTCTGAGCCGAGTCTGAGCACTGAGGCTGGTTTGGGCCCAAAATCAGCCAAATCGGCAAGTTACCGGGTATTTTGCGGGTATACCTGGAAAACCCCGGGTAAACCTGGAAAATACCCTAATAAATAAATAGAGCAGTCATCTCCAGGGAGAGATGGGCGACGCACACGAACACAGAGGGACAGTGCGCACCCCGCCCCGCTCGCACGCAGGGCGTGCATCACACAGGACACAGGTGGACTGTGTGACTCCTCGCACCTCGGGTTTCTGGGACATCTTGGGACTCAGAGGTGTGCTAGTCGCTATTCTCCGACAATTCCGACATGTCTGACGGGCAGTTCGGGCTCGAGCGGTCGCGGTCGCGGCCAGCGCGTGAGCCTTGGAAAATACCCTGCGACCGCCTGGGTATCGTGCCGATTTCCTCAATTTTGCCTCAGATTTTGCCCCAGACCAGCTCTCAGACTCAGGGAAACTCGCGAGTTTCCAGAATGGAGCACCAAACACCCTCTGTGTTTTCCCTGGAAATTTCCGGAAACGCAAAGTGCTGGGAACCCTCTGTTTTCCTTTTTGTTTGCCGGAAAAGCTTGCCTGCTTTACAACACAAAGAAGCTTGTGCAGGCCAACAGAACAACAAATGACGTGTGAGTGTTAGAGTTGTTTGGTATTGCTAAAAATCTCTCTCTCCCAACAGACGCCCAACCAAGCACCAAGGGGCTAGCACCACACTCCTCTCCTAAAATCCCTGTGTGGTGGTGCCGTCCTCCCATTCCTCCCTTGGGGCTCTCTGTTTTCTTTCTTTCTTTCTTTTCCCACTGATTTGATCAAGAACGCCCCGAAGGCAAAGAATTACATGCAAAAAGAAACTCGAGCAGACCGACTGCTTCGCGCCACTGTACATGCTCGCGGCTCTCGTTACCACCGGCCGCGCCGCCGCCGTGAGCACGGCGCTGCACCCGAGGCCGCTGCTGCTGGACGTGCCCGCGCCCGCAGGCTTCAGTTGGGGCGGCACCTTCACGTTCGACGAGGCTGGCACCGCCTTCCGCACAGCTACAGCCTCTGCCATCGACGAGCTGGACATCGGGCCTCGCGTCGGGCTGGGGACGCAGAGCGAGGTGCGGCGGGGCCACCTCCCCGGCCACACGGAGCCTGTGGCCGTCAAAATTGGGCTCAAGGTCGGCGCGATTGCCCGCGAGGCCGAGGTGCTCTCCGCGATGTCGGGCGTGCCGGGCTTCCCCAGGCTGCTTTACCACGAGGCCGAGGGAGAGGGCACGCCCGGCGGCGCCCTCCTCCTGACGCTGCTCGGCCCGTCGCTCGACGACCTGCGGAGGCGGGGCGAGAGCGGACCGCTCACAGGGGAGCTCCTCCGGCACGTCGGCGGCTGCCTGCTCGGCCTGCTGCGCCGACTGCACGCCGCGGGCTTTGTGCACAACGACGTGAAGCCGTCCAACGTGCTGCTCTCCGCGGGCGCGGCGGAGCTGCACCCGGCGAGCGAGTTGCACCTAATAGACTTTGGATCCTGCACACGCGAGCCGGCCAGTGCCGCCGACGGTGGAGCCGCCGGGAGGGAGGCGCCGCCGCCGGCCGCCGGCCCCGCCGGCTCGCTGCTCTTTGCGAGCCTGGCGGCCGACGAGAGCCGCGCGACGCGCCCCTCCGACGACGTCGAGAGCTTGCTGTACACCCTCGCCTACCTGGCGGCGGGCAGCTTGCCGTGGCAGGGCGAGGATGCCGACGCCGTGGCGTCCGCAAAGCGGGAGCTGCTGGTCGAGGGGGTTGGCGCGGTCGCGGCGCTGACGGACGGCGTCGAGTGCCCAGCCGCCGCCGCGGCGCTGCGCGCCCTGCACGCGGAGGTCGTTCGCGCGTCTCGGGTGCTCGGCGCCGTCGACTACGCGACTTGCCTGGCGGCTCTGGAGGCCGGGCAGGAGGCGAGCGGGCTGCGATAGCAGTGGGGGCCTGCAGGCAATCATTCAATGATTGATTCATTGTTCTCCCCACTCTGTTGCGACTCGACGCAGTGCCACTGAGCACACTCTGTGGTGTGCGTTGCGGTGCGTGTACTAGCTACTACCTCAACGCACGACGCTCGACGGCGACGGCGGTCGGCGGTCGGCCGTCGGCGCGGGTGTACTGTGGATGACGCAGTCCGTGTGTCAAGCCAGGACCCCGACACGGCACTTAGTACCCGCCATGGCTATAAAAGCTCCTCTCCTCACACCTGTATAGCTACGCGGCTAGTCCGCCTAGGATATGCGTGCCGACTCCCCCTGTCCCGACTGGCGACTCGCACTGTCTCAGGGCGCGCCACGCACACAGGAGATACTCTTGAGCCTCCTGGCGCCCACCTCGCTGACACCCGCTGGCCGCAGGATCTCGGCGCAGCGGCCAGAGCCGCCATCCACCAGGATGACGTCGACAAAGACCGGCTCGTCCGGCTCGACGAGGGCGACCCCTCGCTGCGTAGTCAGCCCGGCGGAGCCATACGCGAGCGAGGCGGGGACGATGAGCCGTCGCCAACCGTCCTCGCGCATCCCGACAATCCCCTCGTCGAAGCCGGCGCGGATCCGCTCATCCGGCGTGCCGAGTCGCCACTCGTGGGGCCGCGTGTCGAGAAAGGAGCTGTCCGCCGGCGTGCCGCTCCGAAAGTTCCTCGGCCACACCTTGAAGTGCGCGTAGACAAGATCGCCCGCGCGCGGCTCCGGCCCGCTCCCCCGATAGAGGTCGAGCACGACGACGCCGGACGGTAGCGTGGTGCTCGGCAGCGTGTCGCGAGAGAACTTGCTCAGCGCATCGAGCCGGTCCTGCTCATCGGTGGAGAGCGGCATCTTTGCTGCTGCGGACGGCGGCGCAGCGAGCGGCAGGCCAACGCCGGCGCCGAGCAGCAGCTCGCGGCGCGAGAGGCAGGGGACGCGGAGGGCGGTGGCGGCGGAGCAGAACAGGAGGAGGAGGAAAGGAGGCGGCAGCATATACACACATATATGCCTGCCGGGTAGCGCCGATGACAAAAGAAAACAGCGTGCATCCCGCTTGCGGCGCTTCGGTGCTCGCGGCGCGCTCACCATAGTGGTCGTTCAGGGCGGCTCGCACAGCACACACACGCACACACACTCACACACACATGCACAGACACACAGCCTAGCACACAGCCCCTTCCCCTTCCCCCCCAAGACCTCAAGGGCGAGCACACGCGCAGGCCGCACCTCTAGCGAAGCCCACACAGTGGGAGACCTTACCACCGCCCCTGTCACCCATGGCGAGTGCCTCGGCCGCCTCCTGTCAGTGTGTGCCCGTGGGTGGAGAGACTCGTCATCTCTTCGGAGAGACTGCCAACGAAGTGAGAAGCTGGATAGAGACACAGTGGAAAAACTATGTAGGTCTCGAGGGCGCTGCTACTACACAAACTGGGTCGGTATGGCCGATAGCCTTTTGCATTACATGGCTCCTTTCCGGCTGCCTTCCACAAGAACAGGAATTGAAACAGAGCGGGAGCGCGAGATCACGGCTGCCGGAAGAAGATTTGTCGCTTGTTGTGCAGCTCTGCCCTCTCCCGCTCGCGATCCCGCTCATACTCGAACAGGCCCTTTGGCTCTGCCTGGAAAACGCCCGTCGAGACCATCAAGTCATGAAACTCGCATAGGTTCAGCTCACCGTCGCCGTCCACGTCGTGCTCCTCCACGAGGTTCTGCAGCTCCCTCTGATCGAGGCCGCATGCGCCCGCTGCCTCGAGCTCGGCAACGCAAATGGAGTTGGACCTGTCCGTGTCATAAATGCCGAAGAGGGCAGAGATCTCAGCGCCTGCCACCTCTGGCACCTCTGGCGGTCCATTGCTCTTCCTTGGAGCGACGAGGGCGAGGCACCGTTGCACGTCCTGCTCGCTGGCCTCGGGCAAGCACAACCGCAGCAGCTCGTCAAAAGAGACCGCACCGTCCTGGTCCGAGTCCATCACTTGAAAGGCCAACAGAGCGATGCCCTCGGCCGACTGCTCTGCCGGCGACTTGTACGATTGGCCTCGCGGCCTCGTCTGGTCTCTGAACCGCTTCAGGGCGGACGCGAGCTCGCTCTGCGAGACTCGGCCGTCGCGGTCGCGGTCGAACTCGTCGAAGATACGCTTGAGGAGGAGCACCTCCTTCCTCGCCTGAGATGGCAAGGGAGCGTGAGCATTGGCATCTGCGATTGCCCTGCGTTGGGAGTGGGCCATTGAACTCGCCTTCAAAGGGTTGCGAGCCGACCTCGGCTTGGTTGCGTTTGGTGCCTGCCGCCTCACAGCCAAGGGCGATCTGACGTGCCTCGTCGACGGCCGCGCTTTGCTCGACATGTCGGTGGCGCGAGGGAGTAGTCGGGGTGCTCGCGTTGTTATCGTTTCGGCCAACTCGGGTCGGCTCGGCGACGGCTGTTAGACGGCGACGGCGTGACATCGGCAAGAGGGGTGTGTCTGCTCGCATTCTAGAACCCTGCCAGCCCACCCCTGCCCCCCCGCAGTCCCGTGTCCAGTCACATTCAGAGTGGGCAGTGTTTGGGTGTGTCTCCGAGTCCCTGTGCCTGTGCCGCACATGCGAACAAACACTATAATTAATGTGTGTATGTAGGACTAAACACCAAACCATCTTTAAAAAAGAAATACGAATGGCCATAAGGACTTATCAGGACCGCACATCGCGTCCCGTCCCGGTTTGTCTCTAGAAAGCGCGTCGGTCAAACTTTTCCCCCGGCGACGGCGACTCTGATCACAACCGAACATACCGAAACCATGCTGCACACCCTCGTGTTCGCCCTCTTGTGCCTGCCGTCCGCGGCACTCCGCTCGGCGCAACCTCATTTGCGTCCGCAGCCGCGCTTCCAGCGCTCACGTTGTGCACAAGTTGTGCAAAGCGGTGGGGGTGAAAACAGCGGGGTCAGCGGTGGCGCGCTCGCCGATTTCGACTGCGCCAGCCCCTCCACTCTTCCGACCAGCGCGCGTCTCGACGCCACGGTCGGGGTGTCCTCCGAACGAAGCGTGTCGCTCTCGCTCCTCGGGGGAGAGCAGCTCGGCGCAAGCTCGGGCGACGATCCGTTCGGCGAGGCGGGCTCCGTCAAAGAGCTGATCGTCAGTCTGCCCGCGCCCGAGTCCCCGCTCCTCCGGGACGGCCACGCCGCCACCGCCCCCGTCACCGAGCTGATCGTCAGCCTGCCCGCGCCCGAGACCTACCTCCCTTGCCCCGCTCCCGCCGCCGAGAGCGAGGCGGAGGAGGCGGGGGAGGCAGCGGCCACCGTCCCAACGCTGCGGGGCATCCTCATGTTTGCCCTCCCCACCCTCGCCATGATGCTCTCCTCGCCCCTCCTCTCCCTCATCGACACGTCGGTCGTGGGGCTCGCGTCGAGCACCAGTCAGCTCGCCGCCCTCGGGCCGGCGACCAAGGCGTGCGACCACCTCGAGTACCTCTGCTCGGCGCTGGGCGTCGCCACCACCGCACTCGGCGCGCGCACCGTCGCCGAGGGCCGCCCCGACGGCATGCGGCGCGTGGTGGGCACCTCCCTCACCTCGGCCGTCGCGCTGGGGCTCGCGCTCGCCGCGGCGCTGCGCCTCGTCGCCGCGCCGCTGATGCGGCTGATGATGGCGGGCGGGGCGGCCAACGGGGCCGCCTTTGGGGGCGCCGTTCAGTACACCCTCATTACC